AGTCTTGTAGCAAAGCTGACTCCTTTTTTGGAATTGTGCAACGGATATATGTCTTATTTGCTGGTTCTACTAAAAGATAGAAATTTTTGCTTGATCATATTGATGGTTTAACTATGAAATCTTTGTGCAACACACGTTGGGAGAGTCGTATTAAAAGTGTTGCAGCAATTAGATATCAAGCTCCTCAGCTAAGGGCAGCTTTACTTGCATTGAGTGAAGATAGAGATGTAGAACCAAAGGATAGAAGTGATGCAAAGAATTTATTTGAAGTACTTGGCAGCTTTGAATTTATATTTGGCATGGTTATTTGGCATGATGTTTTATTTGCTGTCAATAAAGTAAGCAAGAAGTTGCAGTCACCATCTATGTGCATTGAGTCTACCATGCAGCAGATACAAGGCATAATGGATTACTTTAAAACCTATAGAAATGATGGGTATGCTTATAGTAAGGTCAATGCAACGGAAATTGCATCTGAAATGGGTGTCGAGCCATCGTTTCCAGTAAAGCGACGTGCTCTTAGAAAGAAGCATTTTGATGAAAATAATAGTGAGGAAGCACTCTTGGAAGGTGAGAAGGAATTTAAAGTTAGTTACTTCGTGGTTATAATTGATATGGCAGTCCATTCATTGGAGACTAGATTTCAAGAATTGGAATCATTCAGAGAATTATTTGGATTTTTAATGAGTTCAGCAAACTTGAAGGCATTGGATGGTCCTGAGCTACAGTTGTGTTGCACAACACTAGCAGCAGTTTTCTCTCTAAATGGTTCATCTGACATTGATTTAAATGATCTGATTTCTGAGTTGAGTGTTCTACAATTCACTTTGCCAGATACACCCATGACAGCTATGGAGATTTTTGAGTTTGTTACAAAGGCTGATTGTTATCCTAATGCTTCCATTGCTTATCGGATCTTGTTTACTATGCCTGTGACTGTGGCATCAGCTGAAAGAAGCTTCTCAAACCTAAAATTGTTGAAGAACTATTTGAGATCTACAATGTCTCAAGAGAGGTTAAATGGTTTGGCAACATTATGCATGGAGAAACGATTGTTGGATGAGATCGATATTGATACCATCATCAATGACTTCGCATCGAGGAATGTTAGAAGGAATTTTTAAGGTAATTTAATATAGGAATTTTTAAGGTAATTTAATATTTATGAATTGTTCCATATAAATATTGCTATTGCATCCACAGTTAAGTGTTTATATATATGTATTTACATTTAGTACTGTCAATGTCATGTATGTATAAAGGGCCCCCGGATTGTGGTTTCACCCCGGGCCTCAAAAAAATCAGGGCCGGCCCTGGTCGTAGATAGGCTTCGTTGTCCTCGTCGTCAGGTCTCAGTAAACTTCTGCTTGTTTTAGCTTTGGGTACCTTCACTCTTATAGTACATATGATGAGTAGCGCGCGTTTTCCTTTCCACACACGTGATATGCAGAAGGCCAAAAGACACACTAGTAATGTCCTTCGAGCCAAGAGTTGATCGATCAGAATACTGGAAGCAAGGTACATCTTGTTATCTTGCTTAGTTATACATAACGAGACTACGAGGAAGGATCAGACCACAATACACGCTGATCCTTCCCACACACACCCTGATCAGTTCAGTAGTACTACTAGTAACCTGAAACAACTGAAACTAACTCACGGATTCACGCATGGGACACGTACCATCACACGAAACATGCTTACAGTTTGCACATATTTTCCTTTCTGCGGTCGTATCGACCAGCTCATTTCTTCTTGGCACTGGAAGACGGCGACGCGGTCGCGGCTGGCGCCCTGCCCCCTTCGCCTTTCTTGCCCGCGCCCGTCCGGTCGCCGCATGCGAGGATCGCTGCCGTGGCCAGGGCATCCGCAATGTCCCTGACGATCCTCTCCTTCACCTGACCCCTCCGCCGGGGCAGCGGGTTCCCCGACGGCGTCTTGACGAGGCGAGGTCTGCTGACCGGAGCAGCCTCGCAGCCACCAGTTGCCATTGCTTGACTGCTCTAGACCTCTAGTGCTCTGGGCTCTGGCCCTCGCGAGTCGCGACTGACTCGTGACTAGAGACTAGTGAGAGAAGCTACTGGCTACCTGGCATCAAACCCCATCCACAACCAGGTATAAATAGGGGAGGGAAAAGGCGAGGCAAAGGAGAGCAGAATGCTTCCTGGCGAGCCACCGATCGATCCTCACTGCGCCGATTCGCCGGCCGCGGATGGAATGGGAAGAGACATGCAGTGGAGGTCGGTCAAGCCGTCAACGGCAAGCGGCTGGCCGGCTGAGGTGGCAGATATGCCGGTTTGGCGCATCTGATGCTCGAAGACTGGCAGTCGCAGTGCGCCGGTCGGTTCGGAGTTCGGATTCGGTGAATGAAGACTGAAGAGCGGCACGGAAACGAAGCCCGACGTTGCAAACCGTCCAAGAAATCTTGCCCAGATAGCAGCGTGCTATATTGCGAGAGATTGTACGACGTGCGCATGACCTCACGTGCCGACGTCACATGTTGCCGTGTCATCGTCGCTCGCGGAGATGGAAAAGCAAGGCGATGTTTGTATCAAACCAATGGATACGATATTAAACTACCCCTCTCTTCTAAATTATAAATTATACTTTAACTTTGTTCTAAACCAAAGTTCTTTATTCTTTATAAAAATGTATTAACTTCTACCCCCTCCGTTCCAATTTGATAAGAGGATAGCTTTTCTTATAAATTTAGTTAAAATTAAAGAAGTTTGACTTATAATAAAGCTAAAGTGACATATAATTTAGAATGGATTGAATACAGTTTTTGAAAGAACAATTGAGAATACTTCAAACCAGTTGAACGGTAATGTTCATAAAAGTATTTAGACTTCATGGGAACATGATACAGTTGATCTATTACAAAATTATTTATAATTCCACACTATTTGCCAAAAAAACATATATAATTTAACAATTGATAAAGTGCATGTTTTTGCAGACTTTGTCGGTGTTACGGATACAAGTGAAAGAGATAAGAGGGAACTGTATGAATCCGAGAATCTCAAATAGTTCATATTGGATATATATCACACAGATTTCACTAGCATCTCTATGTATCAGACTAAGTTATCTCTTAGCTTAACTTAGTGCTCCTAATCATTGCGCATATATCGTTCATAATCCAGTAAATCTACATCTCTTATAAAAACAAACCAACTAACTTTTCTATCTTCACATGCTATCCACGTATGATCCTGTGCTATGTGTGGCATATCATCTCCCACATATTTACGTACAAGCTATTCACATCTCCTATTAAGTGTTGCTATTTATACGCCCTGTTTTTCAACACTACTTCATCACTACTTTTCAGCGAACAAACAGTGTTTTTCCTCTCACAGCAATAATCTATTAGTATTGTCACATCCTCCTATAATTTCATCCAATATTTAATTACTTCCTTTGTCTCAAAATAACAATACATCTCGTTTCTGAGAACTCAATCTTTTTAAGTTTGATCAAACATATATGAATGATAACATTTATAATCATATTAACATTGAAATATATTTTTATAATAAATATATTAGGATATACAAATGTGATATTTTAATAAATCTAGTCCTTTTTAAAAAAATATTTTATCGGATAACGAGATGTGTAATTAATTTGGGATGAATGAGAGTGGTTTTCTATTAGATTCCGCCATTAGCTTGTCCAATTTTAATGGCAATCTTCTACATGCAATGATATAATAACTTTATCTATATATCTTATAAAGCCAATTCCCATTATAAATTCTTCACAACATACAAACTATATACATCATTTACCACTAACTATCCACATCATCTCATGTTGTCACCCCACAAACTTAACCTCTTAATGCAAGCTATCAATGTCATCTCCACCTAGTGCAATTACTACTTTCGATATATCTCTTATAAAGCTAATCCTCACTATCAGTTCTATCTCAACATGCAAACTATCCACATCATCTCCCACTAACTATCCGCATCATCTCCTAATAATAGTCATGTCATCCCACAAACTTTCAACCTCTTAATGCAAGCTATCCATGTCATCTCCACTAAGCGCAATTACTACTTTCAATATATAAGAAATATAGAATGCATACATATATTGCTATGTTTTGCTGTTCCATTGTTTTATAATTAATATAATTTTATTAGTTTTTAATGGATTCTTTCACTTTGCTCATTTTTTTTAAAAAAAAAAGAACGTAAAAACACATAGGTTTAACTCATACATGCAACAATTTTATTTTGAGAAAGTTCCGTAGCAACGTGTGAGATATTTGTTTCAGTTGCTAAGAAAGTTTCACAACAATGCAGGGGTATTCTTCTAGTACTTTACTGATAGAATGTTTCTATCGCCGTGCTCTGGTTGTAATGCCATTTCTGCCTGGCGATATGATGTGATAAGTGGTATCAGCGTAACTTGTTGGCAGAATGTTTAATAAAATACTTCGTTGTGCTCCTCGAATTTTCAGGCCAGCTACCACTCCGTGCTTCTCTTGCAATGATTAACAGGGGAGGATGTGCATGCATTGTGGCTTTGTTTAAGCACTAGTGGCGATTGTTATCAAACAAGTATAAATCTCTTTTTGTGGGGGATTCGATCGCAGTGGTGAAATCTCTGATATCTTGTACAGATGCAGTTAAGATTTGCAACTCAATATTAAAATGATCATACACACATAACAAGTACATGTCGATTAACATCAACCCAAAGGCCACAACACTTGTAGAGAATCAGATACATATAAATATGATACAGTGTTTTTCTCTCGCAACAAAACAGCATCAGCCAGCTTATAAGCCACGAAAACGATCAAGCGAATGGGGTGATAACCCGGGCAGCAGTCGGCACATGCCACGCACTAGCTCGTGCTCCGCGAACAGGTGAGCGTGCGTGCGCATGACCACTCTGTTTCAGAATTCAGTTAAGGGCAGGAAAGGAAAGGAAGCCAGCCACCCAGTTTTCTGAACTCAGTTCACAGTAGCCACTGCTCGAATTCAGATGAGCAGCTGAGAGATCAATTGAGTTGAGGAGAGGTGGACGAACAAATCAGGATTCAGGAAAGGTAATCCCCAGTTCGATCTGCACTACAACACGGTTCAGAAATTAGCCGCCAAATTACCAGCCAAATCATGATAACTTATATTGCTCTGTACTAGTTTGTACATAGTAAAACAACAAAGAGCAATATGCATCTCTCTCTCCACATTGCTTAACTCAACAGCGCTATAAGTCTAAGCTGCAAAAGGGGGAACGAAAGGGGCAAAATTTTGACCCTACAACTACCAAATTAATAAAGGGGGAAAACACACATCAGTTTGCACAATCCCTGTGTCAAGCACGACACACTGGACATCTAAATGTGGTTTGGTCACTGGTCAGGTAGCAGAAGCTTGCTCATCTCCCGAAGCTGCGCTACCTGCTGGTGGCGCCGGCCGGCACCACGAGGCCGCCCACCAGGGTCTTGGCTATCTGCACCTTGAGCTGACCCCTCTTGAGAGGCGGCCTCTTCTCCTTGTTGCTGCCGCAGCCGTTGTAGTTGTAGGGGTACTCGTACTCCATTGCTACCTTCTTGGCTTCGCTCGATCTGTGCGTGAGCTTCTGGTAGCTCCGGGTGGCCTGCGCGGCTGTGCTGCTGATGGAGAAGGCGAGAGCTGGCTCTGGCTAGTGCCTACCTTGGCCTTGGGTGGGGAGTGGTGTGCAGGGCAGCGTGCATTTTTATAGCCGGAGCTTTCAGGCATGTTGTTGTTGCGTTGGGAGAAAGGAGGTGGAAACGCGCGTTCTTCTTTGTTAAATGTTTGTTCATCCATTTTCTGGGGCCGGGGAATAAAGTTGCAGGCTTGTTTTGAGCCATGTGGTTCTCTCTCTGAGTCTCTGTTGCTAGTGGGAGTGGGAGCAGCCGAGCAGCGTCGCTTGACTTCTCTCCCTCGCAGCACTCGTTCCCACGGCCGCACCTTTCCAGAGTTGGGGTCACTCGAAGCATCTGTGAAGGGACAGAAAACAGGATTAGGGAGGGATTAGCCTCGTGCCCTCAATCCCTCATGGCAAATAGGAATTAGGCAAAAATGTCATGCCAAATAAAGATGCAAATGGCGCCTCAGGATGCTCCGGCGTCTCCTTTTGTTCAATGATAGTAGTACGTAAAAAACACTCCAGGTTTAGGGTTTTCCGTTTCCGAACACTAGGAAAAGGGAGGATTCTAGATTTTCAATCCTAGGGTTAAAATGTTTCCGGATAATGCTACGTGGCAATACCTCTGTTGAGGATGTTGTTCCAGTGAAGAACACATCTGATGACGAGGAAATTATCTCTCATGCTTGAGTGACAACTGAGGAGTGAGGACCTCATGACCATCGAAGATTGGCCTACCCTTTCTGTGGCCATTGCAATCTGATAGAGGCTGCTTCTCCAGCCGTGTAATCTCACTGAGCTATCTTTTAGCCTAATAAATCGTGATCGCTCTGGTTGTAGTGGAATTCCTGCCTGGCGAGTGGCGATGCGACACATGATGGTTAATGATTAACCATTGCATTGCATTACTTTGCTGTATTATATATGCATCCTATCGCCTTATCCCGATTTTCTTTTCGGGCTTGTCCGGATGTACTTATATTCAAGTCCACAAGTAATGGAGTGGATTGGGGTGGAACTTAAACTATTTTCTACCTCAATCCACTCTAACCCATATGGATTGAGATGGATACGAGTACATCTAATCAAGGCCTTCTTGTGATATGCGAATTTTCCAGAGCAGCCACCACCCTGTTCAGTTGCACAGCTTCTCTTGCGGATGATTAGCAAGGGGAGTGCGTGTCTCTGTACATCGGCTCATTTTAAGCTCTACTAGTGTTGATAGTATCATATCGAACAAATATGGATAGCTTTTGAGGGATTACTTTAGTAACTTCACATTGTCGAGATCTCGGATATCTCGTACTGGTACCGCATAAGATTTGCATGTCAATATTGAATGATATCAAGATGCACAAAACAATTGTAGTTTGATTAGCTTGCACAAAGAGCCACATAAAGTACCCTGATTTTTTTGTTTGTTATGTGCAACATTAGATTATCGTCAGATAAGCAGAGGTGGCACCCGGACGATCAGCTCAACGCGTGGCAGCTGATCCTGATCGGTTACAAGTGCAATCTGACGAAACGACGCGGCGCAGGCCGGCAGGGAGACGATGGAGGATGGAGCAAACTTACACACATGCGTCTGTCTGCGAAATGAAAATGGCCCTTGTAGTAGCGCCATCACTTTGATTATTACTACTTCAGTCAGCACTGCTGGATCAGAGAGCACGATGAGAGATGGGAAATATCAAACATCCATTGGTTTAAGTGCAGTGCAGTTCTGAAATTAAGCACCAAATACCATACAAAACCATGCTATAGGCTATAGCAGAAAACTGCAGACTGTTAGAACTTGGTAGTTGTACACAAGAAGAAGAGCAAGGAACTGTAGACCTCTCTCTCTACGTACAAGAACAGGGCTCTTAAGCTCGGTGTTCTGTTCTAGCAGGAGCCAACCAAGAGGCTGATGGTGAGCAAGGGCGGAAGAAGAACGAACAAGGCAAAACTTGACACCAACACACCCTTTTAAAAGAGGAAAACAAAAGCTCATCGGTTTGCACAGTCCACCACTCACGCATGTCCTCAGCTCTACTCTACTCCTGATGCTAGCACTGCTTATCTCCCGAAGCCGCGATCCCGGTTCTTGGCGACCGGCGCCGCGAGGCTGCCGAGCAGGGTCCTGGCGATCTGCAGCTTGAGCTGGCCCCCCTTGAGCGGCGGCCTCTTCTCCTTGCTGCAGCCGCTGCCGCCGTTGCAGGGGTACCAGTACTCCATTGCTACGCTCGCTTCCTTTCTTGCTTGCTCTCTCGCTGGTCGCGAGCTCTGTGCGTGAGCTGGATGCCTCGATGGATGGATGGTTGGCTGGCGTGAAACTTGGCTAAAACTGGCTGAAAAATATTCTTCCGGCTGAATTGTTGTAAGAGAAAAAGAATGTTTCGGTTAAAAAAAAATCGAACACAAGGCAACGGATAGCCAGAGTTTTCAGACACATTGCTTTGGAAGGTGGGAACGCGCGTTCTTCTTTGTTTTCTCGAGAGTAGACCTCGGGAGTGGGGACTAGGTTCCGGGAATAAAGTTCACAAATGTTTTGAGCCATGTGCGTAGTGGTAGTCTCTGTGTCTGTCTCTGTCTCTGTTGCAACTTGGGAGCGAGTGGGGAGTGGGAGCAGGAGCGCTGCAGCGCCACTTCACTCTTCCTCGCTGCCTTTTTCCTCGCCTCATCCATCCACGTTGAAGCCATGAATGGAACGGCGGGCCAATGAGCAACCAACAAAAAGATTTGGTGGGAGTGTGGGGCTAGCCTCATGGCAATTAGAGGTTATATATAAAAGCAAATTAGTCTCAAGCTAAATGTAGATGCTAATGCCAGTGCTACTACACGCAGCGCTTCTTTCTCGAACTTCTAGCACGGGAAAACAGTTAACCACTGTTATTCTCTTGAACAAGGTATAGCTGCAAGGCAAAAATAAAAACTACGTTGGCAAAATTTTGATACCCATCCCCAAAAATACAACCCTACATTTTGTCTAATGAAATTAATTTAAATTTGAATAAATTTTTAGAAAAATAATATCAAACAATTTTGATTCCAAATAAGTATCCTACGAAAATATATTTAATGATAAAATCTAATGTTACTTATTTAGTATCATAAATAAGTATTAGCAATTGGGTTAAACTGAATAATGATGGATTAAGGCTAGTCTCGGTGGGGGTTTCATAGCCATGAAACTTGTTTTACTCCATCAAACTTTGATAATCTATCTGTTCATTAATATTGTGTCATGTTAGCATATATGCTAAGTTTGTAGTGTATTTAGTGGTCATGAAACTTTTATAGCGATATAGCTACAATAGTACTTTTTCCTGGAAGTGATGAGGGGGTACTTATCTTTTCGCCTAACTTGTGAGTTGTGAATCATGATCCTACTAATCGATGCCATCATGTTCTAGTTCTAAACAGGGTTGTTCGACACAGAAATGGTGGGCTTTAATGATCAATGGCAGCACTAAAATTGTCGTATTGCATCCAATCCCATCATGGCATCACCTCATTCTGCCTTTTTTTTAGCGCTGCATTTTATTGATGAACTGTGAGTTACTACCAGAGAACTAAAGGACAACTCACTACAGAAAATTGTCTATTAAGCTGACTCATCATTATGTGGCACCACACGTTGTTGTTGGACTCGTAGCAAATGGCTCCAAGACATGAAAAACATTGTGACGAAACAAATGATACTATAGGGCAAAAAAGTGAAACTATAGATCCATAATAGAAGATGCAATATCATCTCGAATTTAAATCTATAATAGAGCCCAGGAGCTGGATAAAGGCTTGGAAAATGGTTTTTATTGCCAATATAGCTCATCATGATGAGACCGAAGGCTCCTTGATTTGGCCTTAACTGAAATTATGCAGTCACAAGACAATAATTAATAGGAAGGCACGAAAGATGACAATAGCTCTAAGTCAGAGTTAGAGTTCATGATAAGAGAGAGTAAAAGTGCATCATTCGAATAAATAAACAAAACTATTTGCAAAAAAGGATATTCATTTAAAAAAATCTAAATACTACAGTAATAAAACTAGCAACACTTACTTGCACGGGCCAACTTACTAGTTTAATTAAATTTAAGAAAGTTTGACTCAATCTTAGATAGAAATTGCATTCTTTTTAGGACAGATGTATTGCAAGACTTGTTTTGAACCATGTAGTTCTCCCTCTGCAGTGAGTGAGCATGCAACATCACTTCACGGTCTAGCTAGCTATATGTCACTACCTTTTCCCAAACTTCATCATTAGGCAGCCATTATAAAAGTCTGAACCTACATTTATTTTCTATAGAATGGGCTCTCAAGCATTCATGAAATAAGAAGCATGCCAATGAACAACCAGCGAGATTATGGATGGATTAGCCTCGTGGCAATTAAAGACTAGACAAGCCAAAGTCATGCCAAATATAGATGCTAATGCTCCGGCATCTCTATCTCCAACTAGATTTGCCATGTTAGCCCGCTACTAGTATTCTCAAGTTTTGTGGTTAGTTTAGTGCAGACATAATTACACACGTGCTCCTACTATATTCTTTCCTAACGTATTGTTGCCAGTTACACGGGAGGCAATTATTGCGTCTGAAGGTTCTTCATAAATACAAAATATTTAATATTATATAATGGCTCAGACAGTGCGGGAACCAACTCGTGCGGTCCAATAATAGCCACATAATAAATACACATTTAAACATGGAAGCAAACAATAGTCAAATTTAAAACATGACCACACTGTAACACCCCAGGTGTTTGGCTTCCACATTTGCACTTGCATTTCATAAACATGAGCATCATTCATCCATTCATGAGCTTATATTGCATGAAACATGCTTGTGCAACATTGCAACATATTGTCATATTTCATGTGTGTTTGTTTTATGAAATGAATAGTGTGCAACACTCAAGTGCAACATATGCAACACACTTTAGTG